CCCCCACAGCCCCCCCACACCCCACTGCCCCCTCTGCCCCCACCAGCTGCAAGAAGAGCCGTAAGAAGAAGCAGGCTGAGGCCAGGGCAGCCGCTCAGGAGGGAGGGGATGAGGCGGCAGGGCGGATGGATGCGATCGAGGGCCTGACACGAGCCGGCCATCAGGCGCTGGCCCTGGGCGCCGGGCGGGAGGCAGTGGGGTGCTTCAGGAGGGCCCTGCTCCTCTCCAGGCACACAGAGAGCCCCCAGCTCCACAGGGCTTGTGCCTTCAACCTGGGGGCCGCCTACGTGGAAACTGGGAAGCCCAAAAAGGGCTTTGAGTTCCTCCTCCAGTCCCAGCCCTCGGAGAAGGAGAGCGGGGACCACTCGGGGAGCCTTTATTTCAGCATTGGGGCGGCGCACGAAGGGCTCCAGGATTTTCCAAAGGCTCTGGAGTGTTCTGAGAAAGTCTCCGGGCAGGCCGGTGCCGCGGAGGCCGGCAGCCGAGCGGGGACCGCCGTGCAGCTGGGCTGCTGCTACCTGGGCATGCGGGAGCCGGCGCGGGCCGCGCGGTGCTTCCTGGACGCGGCGCGGGCCTACGCGGCGGCCGAGAGCCCCGGGGCCGCGGCCGTGGCTCTGAGCAGGGCCGGCGGCTCCATGCTGCAGAGCCAGCGGTTCCGGGCGCCGGAGATCGCCGGGGTCCTCGCCCGGTGCCGCTCGCTCTGCGAGACCATCCCCGACCCGGCCCTGCGAGGTAACGCCGCGCCCTTCGCCCTCAGCGCCCTGGCGAGCAGCTCCCACGCTGCTTTTCCTCTCTGTCCCCAGGGAAACTCTACAACGACATCGGCCTCGGCTACTCGCAGCTCCACATCTTCTCGCTGGCCGCCGAGAGCTTCGAGCGGGCCCTGGCGCTGTGCGGCGCGGAACCGCAGCGGGCCTGGCACCGCGAGGCCGCGGTGCTGCAGAACCTGGGCGCTGCCCACAACGCCCTGCGCAGCTTCGGCTCCGCGCTGCGCTGGCACCGGCACGCGGCCGCGCTGCACGGTAGCTCGCACCGCCGCCTCGGCCTCTCGGCTTTGCCGCGTGTGCCGGCTCGGCACGGAGCCCTGTGCTCCCAATTCCAGGTGCTCTGGGGAACCGCAGGGCTCAGGCGCAGAGCTTTGGGAACCTGGCGTACGCCTGCAGCCAGCTCGGGAACCACGGCGCTGCCGCGGAGAGCTACCTGCACGCCCTGCAAGCCTTCCGGGACTCGGGTGAGGGCAGGCACGGCAGCCCTGCAGCACCCCGGAGCCAGGCGGACTCGGGCTGGGTCAGGCTGCCTGCCGGGATCTCGGCTGAGCAGTGCAGGGACCGATGCAGCCCTTTGCCTCCCAGGGGACCTGCAGGGACAGTGGCAAGCGTGCGAGGGGCTGGGTGAAGCGTGCTTCCACCTGGGAGACCCCCAGAGAGCCATCAGACACTATCAGGAGGCTCTGATTTTGCTTTCCCGCTGTCAGGTAAGGCATGATGGGCACCCCCAGGGCCGGACCCTCCCCTGAATCAGGGGCCACTGGCCTCAGCCCTGGGGCGAACCCACTTAGCCCATCACACATATAGGTTCTCTCCACCACAGGACGCCCCCAGAGCTGCCCACAAACGGGTCGTGCACAAGCTAACAGATGCCATCCAACACCGACTCCGCCTCAGCCACCTCTCCTACCAGGGGGGCTGGGCACCCAGCCCAGCCCTGGTGAGCATCACCCGGGGCATGGCACACTCTGGAGGGATGGGAACTGGGACCCCAGTAGGGCTTGGGGCAAGAGGTGCCCGAGTTTGCTCAGGGAAACACATGTTTGATTAACACATGTTTGATTAACACATGTTAATCCCATCAGGAGCCCAGCCAGCTGCAGTTTTGCTCCACACTGCCCCATGCCTGTAGGACACAGCTGCAGGGGAGGGAGGTGTGAGTAGGAAAGCTGCCATCCTCTCTCTCCTTCCCTGGAATGAGTTTCCAGATGAAACAGGAGACAAGCCTTCCTTCACTCCATGTCCTTCAGGGGGAAAGCCCAGGCTGAGGACGAGCTGTATTGGCATATGCCAGGAGCACATCGCGGGTATTCAGGTGAGAGGGTGCAAACTAAACGTGGGATTGAGCCATCAGACAATTCCTGATGGAGCTGAGCCCTTGGCACATCTGATACTGTGCTCTTGCCTGTTTGTCCTTCCTTCCTGGAGGCACAAGAGTGGCTCTGACTGCTGGTCTCACACTGGAGCCTTGCAACACAAGTGGCCTCCTGGGCACCTCTGAGGAGGATGACGATGGTCCCAGCTCAGCTCCAGGGTACCACAGTGAGCCCCAGGCTAACAGGTGGGTGGGCACCTCAGTACAGCCCCTGGCACCCAAATACCTCTGCAGCACAAGGGACTTCTCCTGTTTAATGGTGAAAATCCAGAGATTTTTAACGATATGTAATTCTGGGAGTATGTTTGGGGTCATTCCAGCTGGATCCTAGGGGGTTTCAGTCACAGTGTGACAGGGGAGTTTGTCAGGGACGCTGTCCAGAACCCCCACATGAGGTTCACTTGTCTCTCAGCACAAGGATCACCAGCCCCCTGCCCCTGGCCAAGCCACCCCATGCAGGCCTCCAGCTCCACAAGTACCCCAGACAACCAGAACATCACTTCTCCAGTGAGCCCAGGCCTGAGGGTCTCACACTGCATTCCACAGGGCATCGAAACCACCAAACCCTCCCTCCGAAGCCTCCAGAGAGGTAGGTGATGCCTTGGGGGAGTAGGCAAGGGAGGTTTGGGCTCCAGAGTGTCCTCTGAGGGGAGGGTTCATGAGTGAAGACCCCAGCAGAGCTGTGTTTTGGCATGGACACGACCCCAGGCCAACAGCACAGGGGCTGGGGATTTTGGCACTTCGTAGCCAACACCAAAACTGTGTCTATGGATGGGGCAGCAGATCTAAGGGTGGTTTCCAGGATCCTGGTATGAACCTCCTGCCCACTCCTGCCTTCCACTGCTTAAAGGGGCTCCAACAGAGCTAGAGAGGGACTTTGGACAAGAGCCTGAAGTACGGGACAAGGGGAATGGCTTCCCACTGCCAGAGGGCAGGGATCAGTGGGATTTTGGGAAGGGATTCTTCCCTGTGAGGGTGGGGAGGCCCTGGCACAGGTACCCAGAGAAGCTGTGGCTGCCCCATCCCTGGAAGAGTTCAAGGCCAGGTTAGACAGAGCTTGGAGCAACCTGGGATAGTGGAAGGGGTTGGGATGAGATGGGCTTTAAGATCCCTTCCCACCAAAACCAGTCTGTGACTCGGTGATTTGATTATTCCATTTTGCATCCTGCTGGACCTGCCGTGGCCTTGCAGCCTTGCCCGTGACCCCAGTGCCACTGCTGCTGGCTGCTGGCCCCGCCGGGGACCTGGCACGGGGACCAGGACTCTGTCCCTCGTCTGCAGCCTCGTGTGACCAGGAGGACACCGGGGAAACACCATTTCTTGGGGGGCCTGTGCAGGTCCAAACCGGAGGCTGGGGGAGGTGGGTCATTGGGCCAACACGATTTTGACCCTGCTCCATTTCCACCGTCCTGCGTGTGAAAAACACCAATCACTTGGTTCTTAAAATTTTAGAAGTTTAATAATAATAAAATGGTTATAAAATTAACAATATCATTAAAATAGTAAAGTTTAGAGTTAGGACAATTACAAGACAATAAAAAGCAAAGAATTACACATCCGGATGCTCTTGGAAAAACATACCTTGCGGACAAAGGAATAACCTTAAAAACAACAGCCTGTTGCATATCCATATATCCTTCATGGTTATGCATACATTCTATTTAAAACAAGAACTCTGTTGTATGTCAGCTGTTTTCTTTAATCCCCAAGGCGTCTTTGAGTCGAACAAGTCCTGAAGAAATTAACTTTTTCTGATAAGAAAACTATCAATTCCTCTTCTCTTGGAAGATTTAGGTGTTCCTCGGTATATCTCATTCAAAAAACAAACAAACAAACAAACAAAAAAAAACCCAACAACAACAAAAACTCCCCCACATACATAGTCTCTATTTTAACATTATGTTGGAACCTAAAACTATATTTAACACACTACTCAAGAGAATTAATACAGCATAACTTTCTAACATTACACATATCATATTCATTGTAATATTTAAGAAAATCTGCATGTTCCCCACTGCGTATGTGGGGCTCCGGGGGAGGAGATGAAGGGCCGGAGGGCCGCGGAGTCCGGCGGCGCCCGCAGGGCCCGCGGGCTCGCCGGGCGGTGCAGGGCGCTCCGCCCCGGGGCGGCCCCGCGCCTGCTCCGTGCAGCTCCGGGCCGTGCCGGGGTGGTACCGGGGTGGTACCGGGGTTGTACCGGGCCGTGCCGAGCCGTGCCGGGCCGTGCCCGCCGCATGCCGGGCCCGCGGGCGCTGCTGGGCTTGGGGCTGCTGGCGGCGGCGGCGGCGGCGGCGGCGCGGGCGGGCGGGCGGTGCCCGGAGCGCGGCTGGAGCTGGGGCCGGGGCTGGAACCGGAGCTGGGGCCGGGAGCGCGGCTGGAACCGGAGCCGGGGCTGGGAGCGCGGCCGGTGCCTTCCCCGCCGCGCCATGCACGGCCCCAGCGCGGGGCCCGGCCCGGCGGGGCTCCGCTTCCTGGGGTAGGCGGCGGGACGGAGGGAGACGGGCGGGCAGGGCGTGCGGGTGTAACCGGGGCTCAGCTCTGTGCGTGCCCCGCGCCCGCTCTGAGCCCCCGGGCTGGGCCTGGCGGGTTTTGGGGCACCCAGCCGTGCCATCTCCCACCCTAGGCAGGAGGAGGCCCAGGCTATCGACCAGGAGCTCTTCACTGAGTACAAGTTCAGCGTGGACCAGCTGATGGAGCTGGCGGGGCTGAGCTGTGCCACCGCCATTGCCAAGGTGGGGTCCTGGGGGGCAGAAGGGGGTCCCGACAT